GGGGAGTTTCTTGTATGCCTGGGGTGTAGCCTGGTTCCGACTTCGCCTACCCATAAAACTCCTCACCCTTTTTAAAGCCCCGTCCCTAGAATCACACGCATTAGCAGTTACAATCTGTAGTGAAATAAAGTTGAGTTCAGTGGAAAGTCCTGAAAAACAACTCGATTTATAAGGGGTAACTAGTATCAAAAAGTTTAATATTTTTATGTCAATTAAACTGGAATTCAATTATCCAACAAATAACTTTATAATTTATAGTTAAATTTTCAGGCTAGAGAACAGTGACGTAGAATCGTTTTTGAAAATTCAAGCTACCCGGTTGAAAACAACAACAAAAAAAAAAAAAAAATAAAAACAAGGAAATTGTCCAAACTTGAAAATACATTGGCGTCGGCATCGGGGAGGGGGAGGGGGGCTTAGCCCCCATTTTTTTTTTTTTACTAAAGATAGACTTAGTATAGACATTGAACATTGCTGCGTAGGTTTAGCCCCCCCCCCCCACTTTCCATGGACACGATGCAGTATAGGTTTAAAATGGGGAAAGTGGTGGTGTTTTGAAGAGAAAATGACACTGAAGTTAGAACCCCCCCACCCCCCCGAAATAGGATTTTCATGTTTGGACAGTGTACATTTCTTTTTTTTTTGCTTGTCAAGTTTTTTTTTGAAAGTCTAAAAAATATTTCGTATACGTTGCCCCCCCCCAACTTTCACTTTGCTTCCGACGCTAATGAAATCCTATTTCGGAGGCGGGGTGGGTTTTGGGTTAGATTCAACTTCTTCTATACTATCAAATTTAAATTTTCTCCCTACTTTACTACATTAACCTTATTTTACCCTTACCCCGTACAAAAAGTGGATCGGCCTTTCAATGAACATATTCAGTAAAGTATATAAAGTTATGTCTGAAAATAGAGGCCGCTATTCCTGTGTGCCCAGTGAAAATAAATATGGATGTTCCAACATTGGATCGGGTGATCAGATCCGGTCTTCAGAAGTTCGATTGATAAAGTATGACGGCAGAAAATTGAAAAATCTCGAATAACCCCGGCCCGGGTTTGCTTACCTAGTTTTACCAACACTCGTAGCGAACACCTAGCGTTATAATGCGGCACTACATTTTGACAACTTGTATTCGTCTTCATTGAATATGCTTCATTCTTTGTGTGATTGAGATCACGTTCGATTTAGAGATAATCATTTAAGAAACTGTATCAATTTAAAAGAAAGTAAAATGAATTTACAAGAATAAAGCAACATAGAAATAAAGGCAAAATGAAGAAGGATAAAAGTCAAAGTGAAATGTAATTAAGACGAATATGAAGACAATAAAGTGACATGTAATTATAAGTAGGCATAATAAGAATAAAAGCAAGATACATAGACTTTTGGCGGTAATTCCCTTCCATAGCATTTAGCCCTACCCCGTTATATATCGTAACATTAAGACAAGGTATCTGAAAGAAATATGGCAGAATATGGCTTAAGTTGGTTCGAAACAAGTCATTCAAAGAGCAAAATGTTGTGATATTAAGAATTCGTGTCAGCTTTAATATTACTGTTCATAAACAAAAATTATAAAAATACAGTCAATTATCGAAATTGCTTTTTGATTCACTTTTACTCTCGTGATAATGTCTTATTTTTAATCTCTTGCTATATAAAGATCTCTTCATAACACCTAATAATTTTTTTTCACAGTGCGTTTCCACATGGTTGTTTGCAAATAAGGTGTTACATGTATAACCTTAAAAAACCCATACGTTACATTTACTAAAATGTTATATAACATTTATGATCCATCCCTAATATTAATTTTGTAGCTTCTTGGGGTTATTGGACGGAAAACCTGTGGACTTTATAATACGGTATACGAGGGTTGTCCCAAAAAGTCGTAGACAATGTAACAGTATAGTTTCTCTTTGCTTAATTAAAATTCTTTCCCTGTTATAGCAAAGAGTGACATTTTATGATCATGCATTTCAAGTTTCATGATGATATCACATCTAATAAGAAAATTATGTTAAAAAAAGGAAGAAAGTAATTGTACACCGGCGCACAAACGCAAACGCAATTTACGTCTCTTATAACGTCATGATCCTTCTGTCTGCTTCACTCACGTCTATTAACATTCAATATTTTTTTTTAAGTGGTAGACCACTCTTGACTAAGGGACTTATCTAAATTCACTACTGTCCGTATATTTTTTATTTGTTTTTTTAAGCTGATTCAAGTTTCAGTCGAAATTTAGTCAAGAGATCGCGTTACATTGTAGGCAGCAGAGAATAAACATTGGTTGACGTCGTTCGCGGTCCACATTGTTCCCAATTGTCTGCGTATAACAAATTAAAAGGTGCAGTACTTATTTATGGCACGCCAAATTCACAAAAATGTGATAAACCTAGTTAACGATTCGTTAAGTATAGTTTTCATCTGTAAATTTATATTTAACGGTCGTTAACTATAGTTTACGAATGATAATCTAAGTTTATCTGTCTGTAATAAGCGTTAACAAAAGATTTTGTTGATAAACATAGATTCACGTTTGTAAACTATAGTTTACAATCGTAAACTATAGTTAAGAGTTGTTAATCATAGTTTCACAAATCGTGAAACTATATTTATCAGATTGTTAAATATAGTTAACGGTTTGTAAACTATAGTTTACAAATCGTGAAACTGTATTTATCAGATAATCTATGTTTTGCAATCGCAAATGATTGTTTTCAGTGTTAAGTATAGTTTACGGTTGTGAAACATTTATTATCGCGTTAACTATGGTTTACGGAAGTAAAATATAGATTAACGTTGTTTACTATAGTTTACTGTCCGTAAACTATAGTTTACAACCGACAAACCTAGTTTATAACTGTGAAACTAGGTTTATCTTATTTTTGTGAATTTGGAGTGCCATACTTATTACATGCAGTAACTATTTTCGTTATAGATGAAAAACTCTCATTGAATATCGTGCAATAAAATAACTTCTTTATTAAAATCTGGTGTGTAATGTTACTTCTTTGTTCTTTTTTCCCCGTCTCTTATGTATATAAATCATATCCAACACAGTTTATTACATCTCAGTGCGTCGGTTACGCGTTTGAACACGTCATTTTCATCAAACTCAATTCCAACGATATTATAAAAATTATTACACCAATCATCTGTTTGTAAAGCTTTGTAAAGCTATTTACATGACATTTTGACATATTATTCAGATTTTCATTCTGGTTTCAGTGATTTAAATTTGAGTTCAATGTATTACATAGTACTTAAGAAATTAATACGAATGTAATAGTTATATGCGTATATTATTCCAAATTTTGTTCGTGCGCCGAAAGGCCTTATCGATCTTCATATAAATCGTCTTAATATATCTATATCTTTATAAATATGAAAGATAGATATGTAAAAATTCACAATTTTAAAGAACATTGAATATGTTATGTCTATGCAAAATTTTATTAGTATATATTGGTTGCATGTTTTAAAAATTATAAAAATTGTCTTTGACTTTTTGGGGCAAACCTCGTATGTGTGTCGTATTTAAAAAAACTATTTTTTGTTTTATTTTACATGGTTAGGTGATGAAGAGGCGAGTATGTTATTGAAAAATTCCTTCATATATATTGCTTTGAATTTTCAACCTTATAGTTCTTAATGACAAGTGGTAAAGACATCCAATTAAACTGTATTCATTTTAAACAACCGGTAAGACTGACTTTTATATCTGTCAATCAATTATGTTCACCAATTTTGAATTCTTTTGAAAGAACAGGGTAATACTTTCAGGATCATGTCGGTCTATTCATCAATGACAAATATTTAGACCATTGATCTTTATATTCTATGTCAATGATTATCCGGATTGGTTAATCACTTAATAGCTCACATCTTAAAGCTCAAATGTATGCTAATGATATAACTCAGAATTTGTTAGATAAGAACATAAATGTTTTTGGAAAAATAAAATGCATATTGATTGGATGGAGAAAAACAAGTTAACAATCCATCTTTAAAACTTCAGTGTATGTTTATTGGCACTGAGCAAAGATTAAGAATCTGTAGGAATCTATATATTCAAGTTGGTAGCATAAATGTTGAAAATTTATCTATTTCAAAATAACATGATGTTAACATTGACAGGTGTCTTACATGACCTGAAAAGAAATATACAGACAGACGAAGGTAAATCAATATCTCAACTCTACTTCAAAGCGGGGTATATGACTTGTATACACAAAGTAAACAAAAGTAGAATTTCCATGCTAAGGTACAAGGTACTACAATTTTAGATTAATGCAAATAAAAGTATCAAATCTATTTTAGGAAAAAAATGTCTTCTGGAAAGTTTACCAACATTACTGTTTCATCAGAAAATGTGACGCAATACAGGTAAAAGAAATATTCATAGACTAACAAAATATACTTCCGTTTTCAATAGTTATATATAGTACATGTAAGGTGTTTCTCGGCATAATGTAGATTTTTTTATGAAATATACAAATGATCTCTCTTAATTGACGGAGACGTGTAAATTATTAGGAAACATGTGGGTACAACCCATTCAAGTTTCAATAAACATCTCGATGTCATTCTTATCTCATAGAAAACTGGAAGGAAGACCCACTCGTTGCTCGCAACGTGATTGGATCTACTTCTTTGATTCTTTTTTCACAAATTTTGTGCGGAAGATTTCTCGGAGATGGTTCAATCGATTTGCTTGAAATTTTACAGGTTAAAACCTGTACTTTAAAAGTTAATTCCCTCCATTCCGCTTTCAGTAAAGTACGTACTTCTTATAGGTAGTTATCGTCCTTTAATTAAAATTCAGAGGACTTACTTGTCTGCGATGAAACTTAAAAAACGGCTTAACTTAGCTAAATGTTCTGTGATGATAGATGATTTTGCTATTTTGTACCGTTTATAGATACTGTTGTTGAATAAAAATTCAGAGGTTCTTATGCCTTTCCGAAATATTTGCAAAACAAAATAGGCGCGGTATCCTGATATTAGCATCGCGATGACGTTGTTGACATGTTGACGTAAATAAAATTATATATTTGCGAGCTTAGAAATAGTCTTTAAACAACAATATTTATGGATTTGATGCTTGTTCCGTTAATTCTCACTCTCTGCCATCAGCTTATTAATAAGTCATATCTGACAGAAGAACGAAAGACAACTCTGCAAGGGAGATTGGTTTACTTCCAGAAATAAATGTCTTCATAAACAAATCTATCAGAATTTAATATATAGACTTTATTTCGTTATAAAAAAAAGTTGAGATAAATGTATAACGGAATAAATGTCTTCATAAACAAAACAATAAAAATTCATTTTATGTACTTTATTCCGTTAGAAATAAGTTGAGATAAATGTATAGCGGAATAAATTCCACGGTCTTCGAAAACAAAATTATCAAAATTCTATATACCCCGGTATGCGCATTATTGTCCCCAGCTTGAAAAGTGGGGGATATTAATTTGGGTTTGTCCGTCCGTCCGTCCGTCCGTCTTTCTGTCTGTCTGTAAAGCTTTCGTTTCCACACGATATCTCGAGAACCCTTTGAGCTTTTGCAATGAAATTTTGCATAGCAACTCCCTATGGACTTAAGAAGACCCCTATTGATTTTGAGGTCAAAAGGTCAAAGATCAAGGTAATAAATAAGCAAATTCTGTCTGTTAAAAGACTTTCGTTTCCACACGATATCTCTAGAACCATTTGAGCTATTACAATGAAATTTTATGTAACAACTCCCTGTGGCCTAATGAAGACCCCTATTGATATTGAGGTCAAAAGGTGAAAGTTCAAGGTCGTAAATTTATACATTTTGTCTGTGTTTAATACTATTATTTCCGGGCGATATTTCAGGAAGATTTTGAGCTTATGCAATGTAATTTTATATCAAAACTTCCTAGGACGTCTCTCGCCCCCCTCAAAGTGCCCCGCCCCGTTTGTTTTATTAGTATTTATAGTATATATATATATATACATGTCGCTATTTTTAGCGCAGGGGCATGAGGAGAGTTATTGCGTATAAAACAGGTTCTCGGCGGACTTTATGTTCTAATTACATCTATTATAACTGTTTAATAAAGGATAAATAAATCAAACACCATGGATTGTGTAAAATTTTGAGAATACCGAACATGAAAACATGAATATATACATGTTTGTGACTTCACTACTGCATATACTTCACCTCATGTACAGCGATTCCGTCGCCTAGTAGTTATGTCTCTCGCTTCAAATGTGAGAGGTCCCGGGATCGAATCGCGGTCGAACCTTTTTTTTTTTTTTTTTTTTTTTAAATAATTTTTTTTTCTTTTTACTAAATGATAGTATTCAGCATGTGAAATGAAAAATTTATGAGGTTATAAAATCATCATTACAGTGTGATAAAAATTCCATATAAAAAAATCCTCTATACACATAATGAAGAATAAGCAATCAAATCTTTACATGCAGATTGACATACATGTATTTTATTTGCTTCAGTATACATGTATACATTTAATAATTCTACAAATTCAGTGAGGGGGAGCCGACTTTTTCCCTAAGCGGGGGACATGAATTCTCTGAATTAGCTTGTTCCGTTTAATATCTTCATTTACGGAATAAATGCTATCCATTGCGATTACATGTAAATGCACAATACATTTTGGCACTCTCATTTATTCCTTTTCTGATGATTTTCATTGACTATAATAAAGTAACATATTTAAAATGTTCATATCGGATATTTTATTACTGCACGGATTTCAATGTACAGTGTATTCCAGAACAGGTTAGGAAGTAAAAGTCCTTTGTATGTACGTTGCGTGACAGTGTAAAGAAATCCCGCACGCTTCTGTATAGGTTAAATATTGAATGAGTCGCTTATCATGATCTTCTACTACATTTTTAAAAAAACTGAATGCATTGTGATACCAAAAAATATGTTGTATTCTTCTCTCTTTGTGGAGCTTGTGATCTTGATATTTGGAAACGTCGTCTCTCTATATATATTCATGTAATTGGCATCGCGATGCTAATTAGTTTGGAGGCATTTTATCCAGTAAAACGTGCCATTGTAAGAGTGAATCCCCCCACCCCAAACTCCAAGCCCCATTTTTTCTGATGGTATTCCCCAAAGAAACTCTTTTCCCGGGAATACTTCCATTTGTGGAGCTTATAATTTTGATATTTGGAAACGTCGTCTCTCTATATTAACTTCTGTTATTTGCATCGCGATGCGAATTAGTTGTGAGTATTTAAAATGCCCTTCGTCTATATATATATATATATATATATATATATATATATATATATATATATATATATATAAAGCACATTTTACAACAACTCTTAAACTAACATAACTGCCCTAAGTGAAGAAATATTAATATGAAAGCATAAAGAAATTTCACTTTTACATGGATACCCACTTCCGCCCCAGCCCGGGGTTGAACTTTCGACCTTCCGAATCTGTCTCCTAGCAGTGCAGGAACAGCGCGCTAGACCGCTCGGCTATCTAGGCAAGTTATAAAACTTGCTTTCGATTCCGATGGAATTCTCAAGGCGCTGCCCTACACTACACGGTCATTGAGAATAGAAGTGAGATACAGTTATTTGGACATTAGTTTTAACAGATGATTGTTACCAATACATGTTGTAATGAAATTAATTATTACTTATAAAGCACATTTTACAATAACTCTTAAACTAACATAACTGCCCTAAGTGAAAAAAATATTAATATGAAAGCATAAAGAAATTCACTTTTACATGGATACCCACTTCCGCCCCAGCCCGGGGTTGAACTCTCGACCTTCTGAATCTGTCTCCTAGCAGTGCAGGAACAGCGCGCTAGACCGCTCGGCTATCTAGGCAAGTTATAAAACTTGCTTTCGATATATATATATATATATTATGTACATTTATATATACAATTTCAAATCTACTGATGAGCCCGCATGGGGCGAAAGCGCTTTAGATAAAAGTTTGAGTTTATCATTTGAATTTGGATTTTATATATATATATATATATATATATATATATATATATATATATATATATATATATATATATATACTTCTGTTATTGGCATCGCGATGCTAATTAGTTTGGAGGCATTTTATCCAGTAAAACATGCCGTTTTAAGAATGATTCCCCCCAAAAAACTCTAAGCCCCATTATTTCTGATGGCACCTCCCCAAAGCAACCCTTTTCCAGGGAATACTTCCCTTTGTGGAGCTTATAATCTTGATATTTGGAAACGTCGTCTCTCTATACAGAGAAAGACCGACATCTTACTAACGAACGTAACGAAAAACGGGGATCAGTCAATGTAGTGTATTGTATTCGCGGTTGGATTATTAATTTCTTCAATTTTATTGGAATTTCGATAGAAAAAAATCCCCACAAGATACCTCAAATCCACGTCTTGTGGTAGTCGCTATCGTGACGCTACAATACATTTCAATGGACATTTAAACGAGCAAAGGGGTTCGAGAAGGGAAATGAAAGAAAAATTTAAAAAATGTCATTCTGTGGCATGAAATTAAAAAAAACATAATTATAGTATGTGCGGATGTAGTAGGGGTCGAAGGGGGGGGGGGGACGGGATACTTTACGAAGGGGGGTCGGGACAATAAGGAGTTATGGTCTAAAATTAAATTGCAAAAACCTAAAAACTTTAAAGAAATTCTTGTCAAAAAACTATATGCTGCGAAAATAAAATTTATATGGCTTAAAGGCTTCTCGAGATATTGCTCGAAATTAAAGTGTAACAGACGGACAGAATTATAAGACGAACGGACAGACCGCATATAATATCCTCAATAATATCCTCAACTTTCGGGGAGGGGGGGGGGGCAGCGCAAAAATGGAAGTTTAGTGAATTGTGTTTTTGACATATTTTAAGATATATGAGAGCAAGTTCCATATTAGCATGCCATCATAGGACATATTCCCCCCTCCCCCAATCCCTGGAATATATATAAATCCGGGTCCAAATTTTTTTCCTTTCTTTCATTTTATAACATTTATAATTTACAACATACAATAATGATACCTGCAGTTAAAAAGTCAGAGGGGATTAAAAAAATAAAAAGTGAATTCCATGTACCTTTTTGGATTTTTCATATGAAATACATTGTAAATATGTACTAGACGGTTAATTTATAAAAGAAGACAAATGTAAGTATCTTGGGACCCGGTATGTATATTGGGGGTGGGGAAGTTGTTTGGTCTACAAGCACTTGTGATAAGCATATGTGTGCACATACTTTTGAAGGATGCCATGACAACTAAGTGACAACTACGTTTTCAAATTATTCATACTTTTAAAAGTCCGTATATATTATTGTCGGTATTCTTGAATCCGTCTTTTTTTTACAACTGGAAGGTG